GGGGAAGGAACCCGAGGCCGGGGGCCCCTTTTGCACCCTCCCCCCCCTCGGCCAATCCGGGCAGAGGGCGAGGGAAAGGAGGGGGGGGCTTCCTTCTCTTTCCCAGGATCCATCAATGCACCCCGCCCCACAATCCCCCCCCCCCCCCGCCCTCCAAGGACCCAGCAGGGAAGGGAAAGGCCCGAGTGCTCCGGAAAACATACCCGGTGGGGGTATTTGTGCCACCCTGATTGAGGGGGGCGCCCAGAGGGCCCCCACTGGCTATACTGGGAGGGGCGTGGGGGGGGGCACTTTCCCTCCCCACCCCCAGCGTTGCAGAGCCAGGACGTACTGCTTCGGTGCCATGGGGGCTGGCAAGAATCCGTACTCTGCGGCCTCCCCGTGATGATCGTCCGGTTCGCTCCGGGGGCTCAAGCGCTCTCCGCCGTGGGCCAAAACCCAGCTGGGCCCCCAGCCGACCCGGAAGGAGCGTCCCATGAAGAGGGCCATGTCCTTCAGCAGCCGCCCTTTGCCGTAGGCCACCGACTTCTCCAGGGGCACCAGGCCCGGCTGCCTGCGGACACCCACAGTCTTCAGGGGCGCCTCGGGAGCCGGGCGCGGCATGACGAAGGCCGAGGCCAGGGGAGAAAGGGCAGCCCAGGGGGGGGCGGGCAAAGCCCCACCCAGGGAGGAAGTCTTCGGGCTGCGGCGGTCCTGCAGGGAGGCGCTTGGGAGCAGGAAAGAGCCCGTGGAGGGTCTGGACTGCAGCAGCCGGCTACCTGCACGGAGGGAGGGAAGCCGGCCGTTAGGAGGTCAAAGGGAGCTCGAGGAATGTGAGAAAGGACAGAAAATGTAAACGTAAATATACAGTTTATACTATTTGGACGACAGATAAAGGTACATATTCGCATAACAACGTATATAAACGTGTAAAGCACAAGAGATAAAGATTTATAATACGAATGTAACGCTACGGTTATCTTTTGTCTTTTAAAAATGTAAAAGAATTAATAAAGTTTAATTCGGAAAAAAAAGAAAAAGGAAGTCAAAAGGAAGGCTTAAGAAACAGGAGCGGAAGTGGGTCGGGGAAGCTGCCTCTTGCGAACTGAGGCCGGGCGCACGGAGCAGATCCGAGTTGCTCCTTCATGGCCGCCTGCCTGTTGATTAAGTATCTTGCCAGGCTGAGCGCCTCCCCTTGGGAGCAGCCAGGTGAGGGGACACGTCCTGGGGATCCTGGGGGCGGCCAGGCCTGCGGGGCTTCCTGCTTGGGCAGGTGTGAAGAGCCGGCCAGGCTCTAACTGGAGATTCCAGCCCTGCTGCTCGTGGACAAAGCCCACCCCCCCCCACAAACACACACACACACACACACAGAGCCAGGCATCCCTACAAGGCGCCCTTTTCCAGTCTAGGGCTCCTGGCGAGGAGGGACGAGGCTCCCGGGGCATCTCCCGGCCTCCCAGTTGAATCCCACGGAGCCGGAGACCCATTAGCAGGCCCAAGAGTCGCCGCCAGGCTCTGTGACAGGAGCTGCCCGGCCCTCCAGGCGATTTCCAGCCCAGCTTGCAAGTGACAGGGGGATCTTCCAACCCCCCCACTTGGCTGCTTCAATGCGCTCACGCCTGGCACCCAAAGCGGCCCTTTCACGCTCGCTCTCTTGAAGGAGAGGATTGGTAGCTCAGGACTGAACCGGGGTGTGTGTGTGTGTGTCCTCGGCGCTCTCTGAGCTTCGTGGTGCTGGCCGTACCTGGGGGGCGACTTTTCCATCCTCGTGTGGAGGAGGAGGAGGAGGAGGAGATGGGGAGCCTGGGTGAGCAGATCTCTTGCGAACGGTCCAATTCCGCAGCTGGCTTGCCAAACGGCCGATCCGCCATCCAGTCCAGCTCTTCTTCGTCCGCCAGCAAAGAAGCCTTCATGATCTGCACAGAAGACACGGGATGGAGATGGCCAGGGCTGGGAGGGACCTCGGAGGTCTTCTAGCCGATCCCCCTTATATCATCCCATCCTGCTTTTAACTCTGGGGGTTTCTCTTCCTCATAAATCCATGGCTGGCTTAACTTTTAAGGCGGCGTCAGGTAAAGCACTCTGATTTTTTCCCCGGGTCAAAAGCCAAAGGCGAAAAGGGAAAGGCCCCTCCTACCCGTGTGCGGAGGGATCCCACTTCAAAAGGCCCCCTCGGGGTGGGTGGGAAATCGGAGCACCTGGGGGAGAACTCACCTGCAGCGTGTGAGGGTTGATGTCCAGGGAGGAGGCAATGTGGGTCGAGGCCGGCACCGGCTCCTGCTCTTCCGCCAGATTCTCTTCCGCCAGAGAATCCGGGAGCAGCTCTTGGGTGATGTCGGCCATGTCACTGTCGAATTCGACCCCCTTCCCCAGGTGGTCAGCCTCGGGGCTCTGCGAGGGCCGAGAGAGAAGGTAACCTCGGTCAAATTCACTTTTCCTGTGAACGCGCCGGCACGCACGAAGCGTGGGATTTCGATGCCCCCTCCCGAAAGAAAATATGCAGGTGTGTGTTCTGAACCGCGGTGGTGCAGTGGTTAGAGCAGGGGTCTCCAACCTGGGCCACTTTACGACGGGTGGATTTCAACTCCCAGCTTTGCTGGCTGAGGAACTCTGGGAATTGAAGTCCACCCGTCGTAAAGTGGCCCAGGTTGGAGACCCCTGGGTTGGATGCTCTCTTGGCCAGCCCCGGCTGGCTGGACTCACTGGTCCCTGGGGGGGGGAGGGATGGGCTGGGGGCAGACCTGCACTTTTATTTTTGTGTCTACCAAGCGCAATAGATTTCAGAGCTGGCTTGACTTTTCTGCAACCAGCATCTCCAGTAACAGAACCCTTTGCTTTAACCAAGTGGGGGCCAAAGGTTTTCCTTCCCTAAAGGTCTGGGAGTCACCTTCATTCACCTGAATTTCAAGACCCTGTTCAGGTGACGAGAGTGTGGGGAAGGGGGGGTGAAGTTATCCCAACAGTGCACGTGTTGCTCCTTTGACAGAAGATGCTGGCTGTGGCAGACTTTTTCCTGGTCCTGCCTCCGCTCTCCCGGGTGGCAGCCACAGCCGAGGCCCTTCGGGGTGCAGAGGGGAAAAAGCGGCGGCATCGCCCATTGCCAGCCTGTTTGCGTTGGCAGACTCTGCCCTGTGCAGGAGCAACATTTCAACCGGCAATTTCAAGAGGGCACCAGGATTTTTCCTTTCCTACCTTGGAAGGAGGCGCCAACTTCCCAGCGGCAGCCATTTGCGGAGACATCAGCTGGCCCGGCAGGGGCACCGGAGCAGTTTTTAACTTCTTGGCCTCCACTTTGGCGAGGCTCTCCTCGCTCTCCTCATCGGAATCCTGCAGGCCGTACTTTGAGAAGTGGGCCACCTGGACGGAGAGGGAAAAAAAGCTGCCTTTTACCAATCAGAAGGTCCGGGGCGGGTTATTCTCGTGTGAAAATGACGTCCTGCCCGTCCATTTCTGATGAAGATTCAATAACAGCAAACAGCGATGTGTTTTTATTAGCACTTTCATTGCCGTTACAGTAGTACTGATGGTGTCACCTAGCTGGGTCGTGAAGCGTCTGCGAGAAAACCACCAAGGTCAGAGACCACCAAGGGCCCCACAGTCCTCCTCCTCCTCCTGCCACCTCTTCGCAACCCTCACTTTCCTCAAGCCCCGCAAAGAATATCCTTTCCAATGTTACCGAGGCTCTTCCCCCACCTGGTCCTTACGATTTCTAAAAAGAAGGGGGGCTCCGGCTGCCCCCCCCCCAGCACGCGCTCCCGTTTCATCCGTCGGAAGGAGGGGTTACCTTGAATACCCATGAACCGGTTTCGGGGCGGTACTCCTTAAACTGGGCTCCCTGTTTCCGAGAGACGGCCTCCAGCCGGCCTTCGTAGTTCATTTCTGTCAGCCGTTCTGGGCTCTTGATCAAGCAGCGCGAGGTTTTGTCCGTGGGCCAAACTCCGTCCAGGGTGACCTCGGCTCGCCTGCTCAGAAGGGGAAGTTGGAGGAGGGTTGAAATGGAGACACCCAAGAGGTGTGTGTGTGTGTGTGTGTGTGTGTGTGTGTGTGCACAGCAGTGCGGACTCTGACGCTGAACAGGAGATGAGAGTGGGGTACAATAGTCTTTATCAGAGCAACAGGCATCCTTGGGTCCCGTATCTTAACCCTCCCCAGCTTAACGTATTAAGAGAAAACTTCACCTCCGCTCCATTATACAGGTAATCCTCAAATTATGACAACTGACCAAAAATCTATGTTGCTAAGCATAAGTGAGCTTTGCCCCCATTTTATGGCCTTTCTTGCCATGGTTGTTAAGTGAATCACTGCAGTTGTTGAGTTAGTTAATACGGTGCAAATAATGGTGATCGATTCAATGTTTGCAGTGGTGTGGTTAACTTTGAATGGTTACTAAATGAACTGCGGCTGGGGACCGTGTGGACATTGCTTCCTTCATTAGCTATTTGTTCCCTTTAATATTAATGTGTTTTATATGGTCATTTTCAACCTTGCTGTAAGCCACCTAGAGCTGCCTGGCTGTGAGATAGGCGGCATATAAATGGAATGAAGTGACTATTTAATGAGCCCCCCCTCGTGCCCCCCCTGAGCATCACCTGTTCAAGCCCTCCCCGATGGGGGGCTTCAATTCGTCGTCCGGGTAGACAATGACCTCTTTCCGGCGGATGTGCACAATCTCATCCAGGTTCAGGTTGGTCAGGTTGACCTCGCCCTCGAAGTAGATGGAGCCGTAGCCTGAGGAGAACAGAGGAGCCCACAGTTAAGGGGCCACGTAATGGGCCACGTAGCGAAGACTCTCAACAAGCATCAAGGGCCGGGCACAAAATGGAGAAGAGCAGGCAGAGCTGGCAGGAGGGCGGGGTGAAACGCGTCATCAGTTTGGAATTGCCGTGTTGCCGCAAGGGATCCAAGCTCAGCCTGTGAATTCCACTGAACTTCAACCAGAGCCAATTTGTGCTGTTTGTTGACCAGATTTTTCTGTATAGGCTTGGACAAACGTTGCCCCATTTTACGAACTTTTTGCCATAGTTGTTAAGGGAATCACTGCAGTTGTTAGATTAGCAACATGGTTGTTAAGGGAGTCTGGCTCACTGCAACCGTCGTAAATACGAGTCAGCTGCCAAGCTTCTGGAGTTTCATCACATGACCCTGGGATGCTGCAATGGCCGTAAGTGTGAAAAACAGTCCTAAGTCCCTTTTTTCAGTGCCATTGTAACTTTGAATGGTCACTAAACGAACTGCTGTAAGGCGAGGATTGCCCGTCCTTTAGACAGCTAAGAAGTCTGTACGGCTGAGCCCGAGGAACAGGGAGGACCCTGGCAGCAGAAGTAATTCCTCTCACCTTTACGGCCGACCGTGAAGTCCATCACGATGCATTCTCCTGTGTCACTGGTCATTCTGGCTAGCTCCTCCAGGGAGGGGATGGTGTAGTAGCCCACACGGGTCAGGACAATTCCTGGAAAAATCAAAATCCGAGTGAGGGAGGGTCCCCCGCAATACCACACACAGCAAGGCAGCCTCTGAGCACATTAGCAAACCATGGGACATGCCTGTTAGGCCGAGATGGAGAACGCATGTAACCCACCTGCCAAGGGTGACACGGCACATTTTGGGTGCAGGCCAGTGCTCAGCAACACCTGACAACTACTGTTCCCCAATGCTCTGAACATGAGTTTGTCTTACTCCTATTCCATGGCGGTCATCTTTTGAGATGACCACAACTGTGTTTTTAAAAAATAAAATATGTAATTCTTTACATGTCATAATGCCATCGAAAGCTGATACCAGCCAGAGCGCAGAACCACTCGAGGTGGTAGTGTAAGATCAGAAGACTGTGGAGAAGTCTGGCTCAGAGAATTGGCAAGAGTTGGATGGGACAATGGACATCGTCATCGTCATCAAATGTAATAAATATGTAAAGAATTGGTTCTTTTTTGTTGGGGGGGGGGGGGGGGAGGGAGAGAGAGAGAGAGGGCGGGGGGGGGGGGGGGAGGGGGGGGGGCTTAGTTGGTTAGTTAGTTGGTTAGTTTTTAAAGGAAGATCTGAAATGTCACCATTTGGTCTTTTTGGAAGAGGCGTATAAATACCCGAGGCCTGCAGAGATTTGAGCCATGAATTGCAACTTTTAGAACCCCAGCTTAGTGCTTTGGAGCACCACCCAAACAATGACAGAGTCACCTGGGAGGGCAAGGCCGATGACTGCTTCCCGGAAAGCCATTCTTTCTATCCCAATAAGCACCACCGGTCTGGCCTAGTGGTTAAGGCACCAGGCTAGAAACTGGGAGCCGGTGAGTTCTAGTCCCGCCTGAGTCATGAAAACTGACTGAGAGCCTTTGGGTCACTGGGAGACTGGAAGTTCTAGTCTCTCCTTAAGCAGGAAAGCCTCTGGACCAATCGCCGACTCAGGCACGAAAGCTGGCGGACAATCTTGGGCCAATCATCCTCTCATCAGCCCAACTCACTCCACAGCATTATTGTTGTGAGGACAATAAGAGGAAGTAGTACCATTAAATACGTTACTCTGCTTTGAATTCTTTACAAAGAGAGAAAGGCAGGACAAAAAGAGAACAAAATCAGACATACTCCAGCTGACATCCAGCCGAATCCTGCAAGAACTTTGACCTCACCTGCCGGATGGGTGGGATGGAGCTGGTCTTCGCTCTCCTTGTCCTGGTCCTCCTGGAGGGACTCCTCGTGGTAGGAAGCATCCTCCAGGCTGTTTTCCAGCCCGTTCCGCAGGGCCGGCCGAACGTTCAGGGCCAGGAGGGTGTCGTCCGCACTGTTGTTGTGGTGCTTGTGCAGGGCGTTCTCGGGAGTCTGCGGGAGGGGCTTGGCCATGGCGTTGGCTAAGAACCTGGACATTTCCCGGGAGTAGCTCTCGTCTTCCTGCTCCTCGTCCTGCCTGTGGTTCTCACTCGCCGACCTGAAGAGGGGACTCGGTCAGAGAAAGGCAAGCAAGCAGCCAGGCAGGCGAAAGGAAGCCACTGTTTCTAAGCTGCTCTGCCGTGAGGAAGAGAATGGA